GATGATGCTGACAATGATGATGCTGATGATGATGGTGGTGATGATGATGCTGATGCTGATGCAGATGAATATGATGCTGATGCTGATGATTCTGATGATGATGGTGATGATGATGCTAATGATGGGGGGAACTGGGAAGAGGTGGAAAAGGGATGGGGGGAGGAGGAGAAAGGGCAGGAGGAAGAGCGAGGAGATGAGAGGGAGGCTGTGGAGGAGGATACGAAGGACGGAGGAGGGAGAGGAGGAGAGGGATAATGAGGAGGAGGATCCCGAGTCTCCATGGCGGAGGAGGAGGAGGTGGAGGAGCAGAAGAAGGATGACGAGTGAGTACATCGGGGGGAGGGACTCCAGCACACTGAAAGCTGTACCGTCTTCCCCCCCCCTCCCCCCTCTTCCCTTCCCATCCCGCTGGAGGAGATTGGCGGCGCGGAGATGGGGGTGGCCTTCCAGGAAGCCTTCTCAGAAGGCCGCCCCCTCGCGCCACCTCCTTCTGCGCCCCACCGGGGAATGACAGGAAGGCGAGTCCGACTACCCAGACATCCAGCGGCTTGCCCACTTCGAACAACTGACCCCGCCCGAATTTCTGGACGCCTTCCCTGGGGACAGCTTCTCGTCCCGAGCCATATTTTGACGGTCCTGCATGAACCGCTATCCCACAACTCCCAAACCATGAGCGATTGGCCATCGTGTTTTCTGTGTGAGGCAGGAGATCTGAACAGGAGACGGGCGAATCTGATTACGCGCCGCCCGCCAACGTAGCTTTTCCAAACAATCCCCCGACCCATCCCCTGGTCCATCGTGGTCCGCTGTCCAAGCCGCGTCCAGCCGCGGCGACCTGTAGTGGCAGAAAAAACCAAGTCGACCGACGTCGCCGCCACTGTGGCTTTCGCCGCCCCTGGCAGCCGACGGAAAGGCCCGCGTGCGCGTGGCCGTCCAGCGCCGCGGCGGCTGCCGGCATGCCGCGCCGTGTGGGGCGCTACTCCGACTGGCTCGGCAGAGCCCAAGAAGCCGAAGCACTGAGGGGCGCCACGGCGGAATCCCACTAGCCCTCTGGGCGTGAGTGGTTGAGATTGTTTCTTCTTCCACTCCCCCTTCTTCCCCTTCGGGGAGGGATGTACGCCTTCCCGTACCCCCTCCCAGGAAATCGTTGATTTCAGTCAGGTTTTGGCACATTTTGGCTGGGGGAGGCGCCAATTGGGTACGGCCCGTCCTTTAATCGATCTCCTCCAAGGCTCCCGAGGCTCCCAAGGGTGCCCCAAGACGGCTCCAAGAGGTGCCCAGGAGGCCCCAAGAGGTCACCAAGAGGCTCTCACAATACCCCAAAGAGGCTCCCCAAAGACCCCCAAGATGCCCCCCAGAGGCGCCCAAGGCGCCCTACAGGTCCTCCGCGAGAAGGTCGACATCCTTGATTTCATTGTAGTTTTGGCCACGTTTCGGCCTCCTGGGTGGGGGACCCTAATCCATGAGCTCCCCTCCTTTGATCGATCTCCTCCAAGATGGCCCCCGAGGCTCCCAAGGGTGCCCCAAGACGGCCCCAAGAGGTGCCCCGGAGGCCCCAAGAGGCCCCCAAGAGGCTCTCACGACGCCCTGAGAGGCCTCGGCGAGAAGACCAAAGTCATTGACTTCCCTAGGTTTTTGGCTTCACTTTGGCCTCTTGGGGGTGGACCTTAATGTGCTACGGCCCCTCCTCTGATCGATCTCCTCCAAGATGGCCCGAAGATGTCACCCGAGGCTCCCAAGGGTGCCGCAAGACGGTCCCGAGAGGTGCCCAGGAGACCCCAAGAGGCCCCCGAGAGGCTCTCAAGATGCCCCAAAGATGCTTCCAAAGGGTCCCCCAAGAGGCCCTCGGCGAGAAAACCAAAATCATTTATTTCACTGAGACTTTGGCCACATTCTGGCCTCCTCTCCTGCTCCGCCGGTTTCTCCTCCATCCTCCCCCTCTAGGGTAGGACACTTCATTCCACTGCATACTCCTCCACGTCCCTGATCAGGGCAACTCGGCTGGGCATCGTTTCTGGACGGGCTGGTGGGGTTACTTTCTGGTACGCGGGCTCGCGAAACAAGTCGAAAGCCGGGCAAAGCTAAGGCGGGCCGCGCCGAAACGAAAGAAAAAACATTGAGGAGAGCGGCGCCCGGCACAGAACCGGCTTAGCGCAGCCAAAATGGCGCGGGAGGCATCGCAGACCAGCACCGAGGTCACGCCCACTGAGGTGCCAGTTAGGACGCAAGTGGTGAGAGAGAGTGACCACGCACATGGAAAGTCGGCAGTAGACCACCCCAGGACGCACATGTCGAAGACGGTGTCCGCTGGTGGTGGGGTTACTTTTTAGTCAGCGGCCGCGGGCGAGCGCGCCGGCTGCGAGTCAGGTAAAAGCGGGCTACGCAGAGACTAATTAGGCAGAGGAAACGCGGGAAAAATATAACAGGTGGTGGGGTTACGCGAAGCGTCTAGAATTTCCTTCTCTCTGTGGCAACCATGCTGTGAGCCATGGACGGCACTGGAAAGGAGGAGCGCAGGAAGAGAAATGGGTCAGCACACAACCACAAGATCACATACCGATCCAATATGCCCCCGAAGACCAGGTCGTCAGGTCCAGGTTCCCGCTCAATGGAAAGTCGCGACGTTGGAGATTGGGGGAAGGGGGCGGCCTTTTAAGAAGGCAGAATGCTTCTTAGAAGTGGCCTGCGGCTTGTGAGACGGCTCACTGGGCGGTTTCTGACCAAAAAACGCCTGCCTTCCAAGAAGGCCACCATGGCGCCTAGGCCAGCACGAGGGGGGGAAACGTTACCCGCTGCAGCGCCAAAATCTGGCTAGCACAGGGTCTTCAATGGGCGAAATCTGGCATGGTTGTGGGCCCCTCACCGCATCCATCGTCAAGGAGGAGGGCGCTGAGGAGAGGAGGGGGACAGAAGACGGGGACTGGGGGGCAAAGGATAATGATGACGAGGAGGAGGATGAGGTGGAGGGGGAGGATGATGATGAGGAGGAGGCGGATGATGAGGAGGAGGCGGCGGAGGAGGAGGAGGAGGAGGAGGAGGAGGAGGAGCTGGAGGAGTATGAGGACACGTCACTGCAGCAGAGATGCTTGCGAATTGGTGTCATCCGTGAGCAACTAGTCAGTCAGTCAGTCAGGTCGCCTTGCACCAGACGGTGCGCAAGCAAGATCATATGCTACAGCACAGAAATCAAAGGTGCCATGCGCGGACAAAGGACTCCCATGCTGGCGCTGCACCAGTTCATCAATATCCCATAGAGCGTAGGACGACCATCAATCTGCCTGACAGCCTCTCCTCCTACTTCTGCTCCTCCTCTTCCTTCCTTGCTTCCTTCCTTCCTTCCTGCCCCTTCCCCTTCCCCTCCTCCTCCTCCTTCTCCTCCTCCTCCTCCTCCTCCCCTCATCGAAAGCCTACATATATTCGAAACAACTCCTAAACGCTTTTCCTCCCCCTCCCACCCCTTCCGACTCTTCCCTCTCTCTGATTTTTGCCCACGCTGTATGGATACTCTGGGGGTGTACCATTCCCTTCGGCCGCCACCCTCCCCCATCCAGACCCCCCACTCTTCCTCGTACTGTTACGTTCCGCAAACTTCGATCGACTGGGCCCTCCTCCTCCTCCGTCTCCTCCCCTTTCTCCTCCCTCTTTCCTTAGCTCCCTTCTCCTTCTCCCGCTTCCCTCCCTAATCCCGCTCCTCCTCCTCCTCCTCCTCATGTTCCTCCTCCTCTCTTTCCCATTCTCCATCTCCTTCTCCTCACGACAGCTTCCCCACCCCATCTCTCCTCTTCCTCCTCTTCCTCCAGACATCCGATGCCCTGGCTAGTCGGATGGGGGACCGAAAAGATTCAGCAGTGGCGGCTGAGAAGACGTTCCCCGACCACCGAAACACCACCCCGAGAGCCGAAACACCCTCCACGAGCCCAGCCCCCCCGAACCTCCAGAACATCCGCAGTGTGCGCGACCCAGTGCGCGTTGCATGAGCATGCCATGCTTCACTGCATAAAGCTACATGTTAAGAGCAAGAGGTCGTTCACTTCTAGCGCATTGACAGACGCAGTGAGCAGACAAGCAAATGTCTGGCACTACGAATTCGATGCCCACATCGAACACGACCACGTGATGATGAAGCCGGGTCACGTCCCAGAAGAAACGTTCACGGCAACCCTGACAGCACAAGCTTGCATGCCATCAGCAGCGCATGGGGGGCGGGGTGCCACCATCTCGCCTGTCGTCAATGCTGCTCCTGCGAGCCACCTGGCCAACCAAGCAGAGTGTTACGAGACCCTGGGTGGTAAATAAATGCCACGTGTCTCGCTCTTCTGCCCTCCTTTTCACACCGATCTGCGGTATCGAGGCAATCGGCCAAACGGGAACGGAAAGCGGCATCTGAAGCATGCTAGGTGGTTGGGTGACCCATGGGAAAAACTTTGAAACACATGATCCTCTCGGTCCTCCTCCTCCTTCCCGCTCCCTCCGTCTTTCAGTCCTTCTTTCAAAAGTATCCCAAGTCACTCCATATTCAATCATGACATGAGCTTGTGCGTGCAGCAAGCTATGCTTGCAGACCGAGGGTAATTCAATGAGATGACCCCTCTCATGGTAGAGCAACCAGAGGAGAACTAAAGGGGCGGGGGAGGTGGAGGATGAGCACGATGCTGTTTTTTTCCAACACGCTAGGGCGAAGAAACTCTCAGGCGCCTTGAAAGAACACTGAGGCGCAACCAAGCAAACTGGGCAAATGATGTACAAAGGGAAGAGACAATCAGACGCTCGCCATGTGCCTGTGTCTGTGCGCAGCAAGCAAGATGCGTGAAGCACTGCTGGCCGACTCCCGCCAAACACCAAATCAATTTTTGCCCTGAAGCGCGTTCCCCGTTCTCTTCCTCCCCGTCCCCCCAATTTCTCTTGGTGGCGAACACGAAGGACTGCAAATAGGTGGGCGGCCTTCCGAGGAACCGAGGAAGCAGGGGGCTTCTCGGAAAGGACCGGCCCCTTTGAACTATGCTCCAAGGTCTTCTCAGAGAACCGGCTGCCAGACCCTGCCTCCTTGTATGCGCCACGGATTGTCGCATCCAATCGTTCCGCCCTCCGTCTGCCCGCTCGTTGGCCGGACCCCGCGCACGCGCGGGAACAATTACGGCTGCGCGCAGGCAACACGCAACTCCTCTGCAAGGATGGGGAACATCAGAAATACTGGTCGGTCGGCTGGCAGGCTGACGCGGCCATCCTGGCATGGACTCGCACACGCTGGCAGAGAGATGACGGCCTACAATATACAGCGTGCGTGCTCTCACTCCTTCCTCTTCTCCCCCGCCTCCTCCACCTACCAGAGCGAGAGAGAGAGAGAGAGAGACAGAGAAAGAGAAAGAGGGGAAGAGGGAGAGAGAGAGAGAGAGAGACAGAGAAAGAGAGAGAGAGAAGGATACACATATGTATACATAGAGATAGAGAACAAACAAACAGGAGGAGAAGGGAGGAGGCGGGCGGCGAGGTGGCGTCATCTACCCCAACACAACCATAAGGAAATCAACAGGCTCAAAACGCACTTGTTCTCGAAGGTCCATGCGTCCCGGAATGCCAGTACGCAGATGTAAGCTCCAAACGGCCACCAGGACCAGGCAGGCGCCTTATCCATGTTCATCAAGCCGACGATGATGGCCTCATGCCGCGGCTCGGGATTGAAGCCCGCAACTGCAACGCTGCCCGTGGCATCCATGGCGCCGCGTAGATGCACTCGCACACTGCCGCCCACCCACATAAGCTAGCACACCACTTGAACCAACATGGCTACGGAGAAGGAAACTGACGACTATGATGACAGATAACAGAGACATGCGTGCGTGTGCGCGAGTGTGTGTGTGTGTGTGTGTGTGTGTGTGTGTTCGTGTGTGTGTGTGTGTGTGTGTGTCTGCTTGTGTGTGCTTGTGTGTGTGTGTGTGCAAGCGGTGCTCCGCGGACACTACCAATCTGCTGCAGCGTACTTCTTTGCGGTGCTTTGTCCACGCCGCCCAGGTGATTCAGTGGCCGCACTTTGGGCTGCTACGCGCAAACTTGTGCTGTTTTTTCGTGGTGAGTCTTTGCTGCATTCACTTCGGCTGGTCTGGCAGCTGGTACAGTTCTTCCAATTCTTTCTTGCGCTTCATTGTCTAATGCCCTCTTCGGTGGTTCAATGGCCGCCAATTCGCACCAGACTGCTCGCGCTTCAGATTGCTTCGAGTTGAGTTGCCTTCTCAGTTTTCTGGCCGCTGCACGGTTCGCTTGGAGTTGCAGTTCCTCCTTGCACCACCCATCGCTGCACTTGACGGTGTGCACGTTTTGTGCACTCTGCCTTTGACAATGCTCGATCGCAATTGCTACTTCCATCTGCCGTCCGCGCCTGAAGATCCTCTGCGCCACCGACCTAAAAAATGTGTGCAGGCGGGGGACTCCCAGCGGGCGGACGCCGCTCCAGACCCGCGCACCGTGCGACGCCGCCGACGGACCTCCAAAGGTGCGGCCTCTCCCGCACGACGCCGGCCGCGCCGCCGCGTCACCGCGCTTGCGGGCGAAGGGGCTTCAGACCCTCCTCCCACCAGATCTCGGCTGCAGAGATACCTCTACGAACCCCACTCGCGGCCGGCGCGCGGGCGCTCCCGCTCCACAGCCCGACCTGCCCGCTGCCCCTCCGGACTCCACCACGACCGCCGCAGCCCCGCACGTGTGCCAAGGGCCGCCCCAGCGCTGCGGACGGTGTGCGAGGCAGACCTCAGCACACTACCGCTGGCCGCCCCGCACAGCTTCGAGAAACTCCTCCAGCGCGGCCCACCAAGGCTCGCGCCCGCTCGCCGGCGCCGCGAAGCGCACGTCGCCCGGCGTCCCGCGAGGGCCACAGCCCGATCCCCCGAACCCACACAGCGCAGCCGCACCGACGAAGCTGCCGAGATGGACGATCCTCTGTTCGACCCGCTCCCTGACCAACATCTCTTCAGGCGGGACTGGCTCGCGCGGTACTGGACCCCAATGACACCAGCGCTCACGGACCAGGCCGCGGGCGCGTCCCGCTCACGCCCGATGCTTCCCACGTCGGCAGTCCTCACTGCGGAAATTTGCCGTCAGGTCGCCGATCGCTGGTGGACACACGGCGTCCTCACCGTCAGCCCCAACGACCGGCATCCCACTCCCATCACCCTGACGCCCCCGCAATGAAATGTGCCTGCTGACCCCGACGCAGGCCCGGAGATCCTCACCCCGGCCGCGCCCTACGGTCAGCCCGTCTAGCGCCTTGTCCTGTTCGCCGTTTTTGCGGGCACCACGCTGGCGCGCAGAGCACTCGACGACGCCCTGCTCAGCTGCCCTGCCCTAGGGGTAGGCCCTAGGGTAGACCTTCCTTCTGGGGTCTATAAGGTTGTTTGGGCTGATCGGGCTGAGACGGACTCGGGCTGATTGGCGCCTCACATCTTTGTTGCACTAACGCTCCTACGCTTCCCTTTTCGCGACACCTCGCCTACGAACTGTTTATGGACG